ACCAGCTGAGAAGTTGGCCACGTGAGGTTAGCTGTGGCTTGTTCTGTCTCTCTGATCTTCCAGCGTACATCCCAATACCTGGCTCAGGTCTGATTTTATTAATAAGACTCTCTAAGATTCATGCTACAGACCCCTTTTTATCTGGGTAGCTACTGAAAGAAGCTGTCCCCAAATGGGGCAGGTCTTCCCCATCAATCAAGGCAAATGGGACAGTTCTTCAGGTGAGGCTTCTGGTCAGGTGGTTTCAACATGTGGTGAGTTGACATTAAAACCAATCATCATAGCAAGGGATCCATCAGGGAGTGGTGGTGTGTAGCTATAATGCCAGCACTTGGGAGATGGCACCAGAAGGATTGGGAATTGAAGACCATCATCTGTGTTTCAGTTACTCTTCTATTGCTGTGACAAAACACCATGACCAGGAGCAACTTAGAAAAGAAAGCATTTAATTGGGCTTACGGTTTCAGAGGGCTAGAGTCCATGGCGGTGGGCTGAAGGCATGGTTGCAGGAATGGCTGAGAGCTCACGTCCCGCAAGCAGGAGACAGAGAGCACACTGGGAATGGGGTAAGTCTTTTGCACCCTCAAAGCCTGTCCCCAGTGACACATCTCCTCCAACAAGGCCACATCCTTCTCAAACAGTTCTACTACTGGTGACCAAGTATTCAAACATGAGAGTCATTCATATTCAAACCACCACACTAAGCAAATAGTGAGTTTGAGGCCATCCTGGGCCACTTGAGACCCTGTCTCAAAACAAAGCACCTGTAACTCCAGCTCCAGGGGATCCAGTGCCCTCTTCCAGCCTCACTGGCTAACTGCAACTGTGCTGTCACAGGCTGAAAGACGGAATCTCAGCTGAGAAACCAACCGCCTCCATCAGATTGACCTGTAGGGAAGCCTGTAGAGCATGTCTTGATTAATGATTGATGTGGAAGGGTCCAGCCCACTATGGGAGGTGCTATCCTTGGGCAGGTGGGCCTGGGCTGTATAAAAAAGCAAGAGAGTGAGTTATGTGCCTCTAAGGTCTCTGCTTCAGTTCCTGCCTCCAGTCCCCGGCCTAGCTTGATGAACTGTAAACTGGAAGCTGAAATAAACCATTTCCTCCCCAAGTCGCAATGTTTTATCGCACCAACAGAAAGCTAGCTAGAGCACCGACTAACTAATTAAATACACAAATCTTGCTGGCCTAGCATTCAATTTCTAGTGGAACAGTATTGTAGCTGGAGAATTTCTCTCCAGCACCAGCCAAACCCCACCAGTCCTGGAGCCCACTTATAAAATAAACACACCGACTCTTATATTTAAACTGCTCAGCCATTCGCTCAGGGCTACCATTGTCTAGCTCTTACTCTTATACTCAGCCCATTTCTGTTAATCTATATGTTGCCACGTGTTCTGTGGCTTTACCTGTTGCCTCTACAAGATGCTCCCTGAACAGCAGCTGGTGTCTCCTTTTTCTCTACCTTCCTCTCGTTTCCTCTCTCCTCTCTCTTAGTCCTGCCTATACTTCCTGTCTGGCTACTGGTCAATCAGTATTTTATTTATACAGAGTGATATCCACAGCACAGTATTTCAAAAATTAAGAAATTTCAGAAAAATTAAAGCTTGCACTTGTCACCAGAGGAACTAAGTGTTGGAAATGATGAAGTGAGAACTCAAGCTTGGATGGGCGTTGTACCAAACCTGTGGATTTACAGAAAGACAAGGACCAGAGACAGTAAATGTGCTGAGAAATGAGAAAGGTATTATTCTTTACTTTGAAAATTCTTTAAAAATCAATGGGCTCTTAGGTGATGTGAGTAAAATGATGGGAATGCCCAGACTTCATTCCCCAATGGGGACATCAGTCTAAGAGCAAATAGGCGAGAATTCCAGAACTCAAAGCTGGGGATACGGCTCAGGTGGTAGAGCTCTTGCTTAGCATGCACAAAGCCCTGGGTTCAATCCCCAGCACCACTTATACTGGGCATGGTGATGCACACCTCTAGTCTCAACACTAATGTTGTGAAGACAGGAGGATCACAAGTTTTAGTTCATCTTTGGGTATATTGCAAGTCTGAGGCTAGCCTTGGACACATGAGACTGTCAGAAAAAAAAAATTCCAGAATCCAGTTTGGAAATGACAGGGCTGTAGGCAAGTACAAAATGAAGAATAGCCTAACTGAAATATGATATATATATGATGCTCTATCTGCATATAGCCCTGCATGAAGTCAACCTCTGGAAAAGCTGTCAATGCTCTTAACTGCTGAGCCATCTCTGCAGACCAGCTGGGACAGTTTTATGTCAACTTGGCACAGGCTAAAGTTATTTGAAAGGAGGGACCCTCAACTGAGAAAAAGCCTCCATAAGATCCAGCTGTGGGGCATTTTCTTAGTGACTGAGGAAGGAGGGCCCAGCCTACTGTAGGTGGAGCCATTCCTGGTCTGGTGGTCCAGTGTTCTATAAAAAGGCAGGCTAGCTGGGTGGTGGTGGTACACGCCTTTAATCCCAGCACTCAAGAGGCAGAGGCAGGAGGATCTCTGTGAGTTCCAGGATAGCCTGATCTACAGAGCGAGTTACAGGACAGCCAAGGCTACATAGAGAAACCCTGTCTTGAAAAGCAAAAACAAAAGGCAAAGAAGGCTGAGCAAGCTAGTAAGCAGCACCCCTCCATGGCCTCTGCATCAGTTCCTGCTTCCAGGTTCCTGCTCTGCTTGAGTTCCTTCGATGTTGAACAGTAACATGGAAGTGTAAGCCGAATGAACACTTTCCTCCCCAAGTTGCGTTTTGGTCATGGTGTTTCATCACAGCAATCAAATTCCGTCTCTGTTCAAATATGAAATAGCCCTGTAACTACAACTTAAACTTGAAGTAAAGAAAAGGAACGCTGCATGAAATCTGAGGAGATGTAAAGGGACACCTGCCTTTCTTCTCAGGGAGACACTTCATGTCCTGTGGGTTCACTGTCAACACTCCCCCTGGGCCAGGGCCTGACTGACCCTGTGGGCTCCCACTTCCGGGCTTATTCTAGAAGGGAAAATTTTTGTGGTGTGCAGGGCATAAGAAGGAATTCCAGTTTTGATTTTTTATATCCTTGGGAGGCTATTAACTATCTTCTTCCTCCTCTTCTTCCTCACCATTTTGAAACAGTCTCCTGTGTAGCCCTGGCTGGCCTGAAATCACTATACATAGATCAGCCTTCAACTCACAGAGATTCACCTGCCTCTGCCTGAAGAGTGCTGTGATCCTCAGATAAACTTTATTGGGGGACACAGATAAAATATCAGCACAAGTCCTAATACAGGAGACACGGTATGAGGTGCTGCAGAGGACAGAGGCAGCCCAGTCGTGGATCACTTGACACTTGTCTGATAATGGACCTCGTACATGCAGGTGGTCTCACAGGATTATATAGTTGGTGCAGTTGAGTTTGTGTGACTACACTTTGTGATGTTTGATAGTCTAAGGGACACTCTCCACAGAGTGTGTACTCCTCCTTAAGATATAATTGTAGTAACCTGGAGAGATGGCTCTGTGCATAAGAACACTTGCTGTTCTTTCCAAGGACCCAGGTTCTGTTCCCAGAACCCACATGGAAGCTTATGCCCTTCTGTAACTCCAGTTCCAGGGTGTCTGGTCCCCTGTGGGGCACCAGGCATGCATGAACTGCATAGTCATACACGAAGGCAAAACACTTTTACACATAAATAAAGATTAATTTTTTTTTTTTTTTTTTTTTTTTTTTTTTTGGTTTTTCGAGACAGGGTTTCTCTGTGTAGCTTTGCGCCTTTCCTGGAACTCACTTGGTAGTCCAGGCTGGCCTCGAACTCACAGAGATCCGCCTGGCTCTGCCTCCCGAGTGCTGGGATTAAAGGCGTGCGCCACCACCGCCCGGCAAGATTAATTTTTAAAAGATATAATTGTAGAAGGTCAAGTGGAGTGCCTCTGGATGTTTGGGAGGGGAAGACTTGAAGGACAGCATGGTCAAGGTCAGGTCCAAATGCTAACAGTCTCCTGCCTCAAGGATGGAAGATGCTTGGGTCTCACTGGTGGCCTCCGGAAGATCATCCTTCTAGGTTGATGGAAGCAGGGAGGCAAGAAGAAAAGAGGTATAGACAACTCCACTGGAATTAGTAGTGGAGGGCTAGAATAGAAGCAGATGGAGAGTTCCGGAGGAGGCTGGCTCAGAAAAGATTTTGGTGTGTTTTAATATGGCAGGGACCCATTTGTCTGTGGAAAGAACCAAGCCAGTTAGAAAGGACCCGGTAGGGTGGGGGTCCTGGCCAGGTATGCAGAATGGTGAACTTGGGCTCCAGAAGACAGAGGACTCAGACAGGCCTGGCTCAGGCTAGAGTAATGGACCTGGCTGCCGATCAGGAGAAAGGTGTTGATCCTGGAGGGCAGGGTGGAAAGGGACTTCGATGGCCTTCTGTCTTTTCACAGAGAAAGTGGGTCATCGTTGTTGGTCCCGCATTCCGGGATGCTTCTGGGACTTCCTAGCTGGCGCCTCCAGTCAAGCTCAGAATGAGGTCCTAGGGTGGGCGCAGAAGACCCGCCCCTAGCCGGGCGGAGCTGGACACCTCCTTCCCGCAGGGCTCTCAGGTGACAGGCCTGTGGGTCCCTGCCCCGCCCCGCCGCGTATTCAGGAGGTCCGTGGCTCAGAGAGCAGTCCCTGCTGCCTGTGCGTGCGTGGACCTAGCTTCCTCGCTTCGAACCCGCTGCTCGCCATGACCACCGCTCCCACGCCTCGCAGCCTGGTCATTTTCCTCCAGGTGCTGGGGCTCGCCCTGGCTCAGATCGTAAGTCCTGCCGCCTCTTTGGCACCGGAGTCCTGGGTGCGGAACGTGGGTTTAGGATCCAGGAGTTTTGGGACCTGCTCCAGTGCGTCCCTAGCCGGAGGGGCAGCTGAGGACAGAGTCGCTGGGAGGGTGCATACCCGACACCCAGCGGGCAGTGAGGGGACATTGACCAGCCCTGGAGCCAAAGCGACCCTGTCCCGGGATGCTCGGCCTTGCCTGAGAGAGGCAGCGTCGGGCAGGAGCTGGCGCAGGGTCCTGGCAACAGGGAGAGCCCAGGTGGTGGTGGAGACAATGGTGGGCATTCAGTCGACAGCGGAGCCTCCGCCTCTGGAGCCTCCTAAGGGGCCCGGACTCCAGCCAGACTTCCCTGTGGCCCCTCTGCATCTCCTCTGACCGACTTGTGAGCTCCTGTCTCACTTCAGAGGGACGGCTGGGGGCTGGGAAAGGTATGCTCCGAGTGGGACCTACCGGGGACCTTGGGCCTGATGCGGTCCCCCAACCCCCACCCCCCGTGCCAAGTGATGTTGGTTGTGGGGTGCAGCATGCCTATGGGGAACCAGTCTGGCACTTCTTGACCTGGGGAGGGTACCTGGCGCCAGTGGGACATCTTCCTGACTCTGGGCTGGCCCATTATGAGGACCACCTCAGGGAGGACCAAGTGAGAAGAGTCCCAGCTTCCCTTCTTCACACTTGCCTTCTCTGCGGGCATCTAACCCCCACCGGGGGACGAGGGAGAGGTGTTCGTTCACCACTGTATCTGTTGTTGGTTGGAAAACAGTAATAGTTCCAAGTGCCATTGACCGAGGGCCAGGCACCACCTCACATCATCTGTGGTTTGAGCGAATGGTATCGTCATCTATTTCCCACCACGACAGTGCAAGAACAGTGTGGTCCAGGGGAAGACGTCGGCCGACCTAGGGTGCATTCACTCTGTGACCACTTACCTTTAATCTTTCTGTGTGTGTTTCTTCATCCTCAGCCTGTCACCCCAATAGTACCCCCGACAGTTCTGAGTAGTTAATAAGATAATGAGTGAGATGCACACAGTACCTGGTACACAGTAGCATCACAACAAACTCCCCATGGAGTTCCGTTTCCTTGGGGAGTTGCGGCCCTAGTCACCCTCAGGGTTTCCAGCAGCCCCCCTTTACCCCCCCCCCCCCAACCCAGTTCTGCTCACTGTCTGAGGGCTGCATTCTTGTGTGTGTTTTCAGAGAGGTCCGCCGGGAGAGCCGGGTCCTCCAGGGCCACCAGGGCCACCAGGAGTGCCTGGTTCTGATGGCATCGACGTGAGTATCTAACTTCAGACTTGAGCGGAAGGAAGGCTGTCCACAGAGGAGAACTTTGTGAGCGCAGGGGTGGGGACGCCTGGAGGTTGAGCACCCCCTGTTGCCAGCAGGCGGCGCCTGCAGAGACCACAAGGAGCCGTTTGTTAGTGAAAACCCCAAACCAACCCTGAAACGCAGAGTCTGTCTTAGCCACCCTGCAACAAGGGCCTGCTGTTCTGTGCCGGCCTCAGCTCACAGCGTGTCCTCATCCCCCTTCCTCCCTTCCTCCTCTTAACCCCTCAGGCTGTCTCCTGACACACTAGCACTTCTTTAAGGTAGCGGAGGAGCCTCGTGAAGATTGCTCGTCTGCTGGGGCCACGCTCCCATCTCTCCTCTTTTGCTTTAGCTCCCCGGCTTAGAACCCGCTGGGCTTGTCCTCTGCTCTCCTAGCATGCTGAGGGTTAACCACCTCATTCTGGAGGCTCCCCCAGGAGGTCGGCTGACTGTTTACCGTTTGGACAGACTTCTATTCAGTCTGGTGCCCCCACCCCCAAACGCAGGGCGCTGGACCCCAGCCAGGCTCCGGCTGCTGCAGGCTCCGGAATTCTCGGGGGCCTCTCTGGGGCTAAATCTGACTCCATGGCCATGCCAGTCTCCCACCAAGGGTCCTTTGTCACATGGAAAAGAGATCCTTTTCTTGAGAACATTTTTGAATCTCTCCCCTTGCAGGCCCCCTCGATCCTTGCCTCTGCCGCAGTCTCTGGCTTTCCTGACTGAGAGTCGCTACCCACCTCATTTCCCTCCCCATCAGATTTCTCTAAACGCCTTTTTAAAAAATTATTTTTCTCTTGCTTAACGCATCAGTTCTCTCAACTAACTTGAACCCCGGGAACTTCAAAGCTAGTACCTTACCAACACCAGCATGTCTAAAATCTACTTGACTACATGCCCCTCTCAGCTGGCTTAGTGTTGACACACATACTTTGTTTTGTTTTCATTTCATTTAATTTAGACAAGGTCTCTTTATGTAGCCCTGGCTGTCCTGAAATTCACTGTTAGACTAGGCTGGCCTTGAACTTACAGGCTTACACGTGTCTCTGCTTCCTGGGTGCTGGAACTAAGGCCTGTGCTCAGCTGAATTTTGTTTGTTTTGAGCAAAGGGAGCTTTTTTTTAAAAAGAAAAAGGTGCAAATCTCGGCACAAGGGAGGAGAAGGCTCTGAGACCGCCAGCCAGACTTGTCTACACCCACTTGGGGAAGCATGAGCCACGGATGCTGTCTCATCAGCTTGTATCTTGCAGGGTGACAAGGGGCCTCCAGGAAAAGTCGGTCCTCCGGTGAGTGCTTTTTTTTCTTTTTCTTTGACCTTTGACTCTCCCAGTACTTGCTGCCCTCTGCCTAATATGCTCTGCTTCTAATTTCAAGGGATCCAAAGGAGAGCCTGGCAAACCCGGGCCGGATGGGCCAGATGGGAAGCCTGGCGTGGATGTGAGTACCTGAGGCTGGGGAGAGTCTGATTCTGGCTTCTTCGTGCATGTCTTGTTAGAAGGGTAGCAAGATGGCAGCTCTATGGCCATTCAGGCTCTTTTTCATACGGCTGTGACCTCAGTCTCATCTCATATCTACCCTGACTGGAATTCTTGGATCTCTGGCAACTGGGAGCCAGAGAGGGGCTTTGCTTTCTGTGAGCTGCAGGACTGTCCCACTTGTCTGTGAGGACTCGGTCTCATGTCTCTAGAGACTGCACTGTCTTTGTGTATCCTGTCTGCGCTCCCCACACCCTCACCCCCATCCCGATTGCCTTGCTTACCCCCTCTGCAGTTCCTGCACAGCTCAGGGAAGGAACACCATTACAGAGTTCCCAGGGACCTCAAAGCCACAAATTCCTGAGGACTGACAGTCTCAGGGAGGTGGAGACAGTTATTTGGTGGAAGTACGTGGGCAGGTTCTGAAAGATGGGGGGTAAGAGAAACCTCTTTGAGCTTTGACTGGTGTGGCCAGGGCTGCAGACAACAGGGCCTCTTTAAACTCCTCATCCATACCCTACAGAGATTACAAAACACACTGCCTCACTCTAGCAAGCCAGTGCTTATGTCTGCCCAGAGAGCTAAAGGTGTGAATTCATCTGCAAATGAGAAAATGAAGATTATCAGAAGTTGCCAAGAGCAGACATTGAGCACAGCACCAGTCCAGGTCCAGGTCCAGGTTGGGGTACCCTAGACTCGAACTGTGAGGAGTGAGGCTGAGCCCACAGGTCTTGGAGTCTTAGTTTCTAATCTCTTAAAGGAGGGTAATTGGGTTGAGGGTGTAGTTCAATGGTGGACTGCTAGCATCTGGGCATGGTAGTACACATCTGTAAGTCCAGCACTCAGGAGGTGGGGGAAAGAGTCAGAAGTTCAAGTCATCCTCGAGTACGTAGTGAGTTGGAAGCTACCAACTCAACAACACAACAAAAGGATAATTGCCAGGCGTGGTCAGGAATACCTTTAACCCCAGCACTCAGAAGGCAGAGGCAAGTGGATCTCTGAGTTCCAGGCCAGCCTGGTCTACAGAGCAAGTTCCAGGGCTACACAGAGAAACCCTGTCTCAAAAATAATCAAAATAGGGCGGGAGAGATGGCTCAGCAGTTAAGAGCACTGGCTGCTCTTCCAGAGATCCTGACTCCAATTCCCAGCAACTGCATGGTGGCTTACAACGGTCTGTAATGAGATCTGGTGCCCTCTTCTGGCCTGCAGGCACACATGCAGACAGAATACTGCATACATAATAAATAAATAAATAAATAAATAAATAAATAAATAAATAAATAAATAAATAAATTTTAAAAGGAGAATAATGGTTTTGCCTGCCTCCCAGGATTCCTTTAAAAAGAGAGGAAGGGGGAGAGGGGGAAGTTAAGGTCCCCAGGCCTCCAGCCAGTATGGGAAGCCTAATGAGTCCCCTAGACTTGTCCTTCTCTGTGAGCTAAGGGTAGGTGCGCCTCAACAATCCTACCATCTCTTTCTTCCCCAGGGTTTAATGGGGGCCAAGGGTGAGCCTGGACCCATGGGGACCCCTGGAGTCAAGGTAAGTGGCGGCTGGGTGCTCATTGAAAACAAATTAAGGTCGGAGTTGGGAGGCACTACAGTAGAGGGAGGTATGGACCCCAGAAGACTCCAGCCTCTGAGTCTCTCCCATTGCTCCTGCAGGGTCAGCCTGGCCTCCCAGGGCCCCCTGGCCTGCCGGTGAGTAGCACCTGCAAGGGTGTGGAGGGACCCTCTGAGGATGGGAAGACCTGGGGAGGGGAGCCGTGAATCTGATTTCCTTGATTTCTATTGCAGGGCCCCGGTTTTGCTGGCCCTCCCGTAAGTTCTAAGGGTTGGGGCAGGGAGCTGGGGAAGAAGAGGAGGGCTTCTAGGGGAAGTCCCCATCCTGAGGAATGACCTGCATGCTGTGCTGGTGCCGTGAATAGGCAGCTTGCTGAGTCTGGAATAGTTTGGTCCTTCTAGCCCCGCAATCCGGTCTCTCTGGAATTGTTTAAATAGTCATGTGGAGAAGACACTTTTGGTGCCTGTCCCTACCTTCCTATCTAAGGTGGCTGACCTGGTGAGGCATCCCAGAAAACTGCCTCTCTGCCCTACAGGGACCACCTGGACCCGTTGGCCTCCCTGGTGAGATTGGAACCCCAGGTCCCAAGGTGAGCCCACTGACCCTCAAACTCTTTCCCTTGCTCTGCATGCCTAGGCTGACAGTCTGGGGCAGGCTTTCTGGGAGTTTCTGGGTTGCTCTGCATGCCTAGGCTGACAGTCTGGGGCAGGCTTTCTGGGAGTTTCTGGGTTGCTTCTGGCTCACAAAGAGCTCCTCCAGGCCTGGGGCAGAACCCTTTCCTGCTGAACCTGGGACGGGACTGCAGCAAGTCTTCCTAGGAGGCTGAGGGATGGTGCCACCTGCCAATGTCCTGGATCGCCTTACTGTGACAGCTCTCCGGAGATGCCCCAAAGGGCGGCGGGGATGGAACAGTGGTAGGAAGTGGAGGAAGAGCAGGATAGACTGGGGCAGGCAGGATGGTGTTGTGACTTGGGCTCTTCTTGTTTCCAGGGGGACCCAGGACCAGAGGGACCATCAGGGCCCCCAGGACCCCCTGGGAAACCGGTAAGTGTCCTCAGCCCTCCTGAATGGCCACGTGTTCCTGAGGAAATGGCTTGCAGTGGGGATGGGTCAGGTCATGTCTCATTCTTATATATCTCCTCTCAGGGCCGACCAGGAACCATCCAGGGCCTAGAAGGGAGTGCAGATTTCCTGGTGAGAGATAGGGTCTGGAGAGACTGACAAGGGCTTTCAATGGGAGATGGGGAGGGAGTTCTGGGAAGCATTGCTCAGCTGGCCCTGGCCAGGCAAGAGACCTCTGGCCTTATAGAATTTTCTTTCCAGTGTCCAACCAACTGTCCAGCTGGTATGAAAGGCCCCCAGGGGCTGCAAGGAGTGAAGGTGAAGAGGAGGAGGCTTGTCCTGGGAGGGTGGAAGGGGTGCTTGGAGGCGACCTGGGACTGAGTTCCCTCCTTCTCTTCAGGGGCATCCAGGCAAACGGGGGATTCTGGGTGATCCTGGTCGCCAGGGGAAGCCGGTGAGTATGAGGGCTAAGGGCCAGGCGTGAGGGTGAGGGTTATGGGGAGACAATCCTACAGAGATCTGCCTCATTCTTCATCCCTTCCCCTGTCCCTGTGGGCCCAAGGGACAGATCCTTGAGCTGGGAGGCAGGAGGCCAATGTTACACACCAATGGTTCCCCCCTGCTCCTTTTTTGGTTTTTCAAGACACATTTTCTCTGTGTAGCCCTGGCTGCCCTGGAATTCACTCTGTAGACCAGGCTGGCCTTGAACTCAGAGATCCACCTGCCTCTGCCTCTGGAGTGCTGGGATTAAAGGCGTGCGCCACCACTGCCGGACCCAATGAGTCTCTTGTTGAGTCCTTTTTTCACATGATCTGGATCAGTGTGGTTTCTAATTGCTCTGCCTGGCTGGCTGTGTTGGGAAAGGTTGCTGGTGTCTGTT